CCAGGGAATCTCTGTGGTGCTGGTGAGGGATCTGATGGATCTCACACCAAACCAGGCATCCCTCGGGAGCTCCTGTCCCTGGTGTTCCCTCTGTGCAGCCTGGCCGGGGACACCATCCCAGGAGCACAGCCTGGGCCAGGGGCAGAATGGAGCAGGTCCTTGGGCTGGGGGCTCCCTCCACAGGGCCCTGCTCGGGGTCACACCCTTGCTGGGAGCCCCCAGCCCCGCAGGAGCTGCTGGGGGACAAACCCTCGGGCAGGGGACAAACCATCCAACAGTGACAGCTTTCAGTCACTGCCACCCCGGGCAGCATTCCAGCTGACAAGGAGAAGGTTGTAGATTTTCCAACTGGACTCTCCTGGCCCTGGATAAAAGAGCACAAATGCACTTGTCTGGCTTTCTTCTCTCTCACTCATTTCACATTTCCTGAACTGGTTCTCAGGACAGGTAGGAACTTGCTGCTGGTATAAAATGGCAACATCCATCCGTCCGTAGCTCCCAAAAGCTTTTAAGACCAACTTAAGACCAAACTCCTTGGAATCAGCAGAGCCAGTGAGCACTGGGGGAGCTGTGGCTGGCTCCCTGGCACTGGGACAGCCCTCTGAGCTTCTGTGCCTCTCTGGGGAGGGATATAAAACACATTATACCGAAATACTCTTAGACTTAATTAGGTACTTAATTATAAAACACTTTGGAATCCTCTGCTGCGAGGTGAAGAATGCAAGGTATTAGTCACATTTTGGCTTTAGTGGTTTTGAATACCTGCATTCAGGACCAGACATTGCTTTGGGTACTCCAATGGGATGTTAATGGATTGGGAGCCTCCCCTGAGCTGGCACTAGTGACAGCAGCACATCACCCAGCACAGCAGGGACACGTTTGAAAGATGAGACAGTGCTGAGGGTGACTTGTCACCACCCTACCATGGATGCTTGAGTTCCAGGGCCGCCTGAAGGAACCTGGGTAAGCAGAGACCTGCAGATCCTGTAAACTCAGAGCAGATTCTTTGTGCCAGGAATCACAGTGAGAGCAGCGCTGCTCCCCCACCACAGCTCTCCCTGGGCACTGGCACTGCAGTGTCCATGTGCTGCTGCAGCAGAGGCTCACAGCTCCCCAGACCAGACTGCCCCAGCCTGCAAGGGCTGCTGACCAGCCCAGCGCTGCCCACCGCCCTGTGCTGCACAGCAAGCACAACTGGCGAGCCTCACACCGCTCTGCAGCCTGAGCCACCACCCAGCAGCATGGGGCCAGCCTTTGGTTTCACCAAGGCAGCTCTATAAATAAACTTCCTTTACTCCCTGGAGCTGAGAACATCGCAAGTTTGATCAAAGTTTCTCTCTCAGCAGGGAGGTTTCCTTGCCAGCTCTTTGCTCTTCATGCTCATCCATGAAGGCAAAAAATAAACTCAATCCCTCATCAGCCAGCGAGCCAAGAGCTCATCTCCCGAGCAGGAGGAGCCAGCAGGCCCCCACGGAGCTGCTGGGTTAGCACAAGCACGGCCCTGCTTTGCGGGCAGCAATTTCCCAGAGCCAGCTGTTAAAAAACAGGGAATTTTCTAATTGCAGCCCATCCCAAGGGATTTATTTGCTGGCATTTAAATCCCTTTTGAACGCACTTCCTACGAGCAGAGCAGCCGTGGTGTGGGCACGTGCTGGCTGTGTGCACGTGGAGCCGTCCGTGTGTGCCACGGCCCCGAGCCCTGAGCCCTGAGCCCTGCTGTGCCCTGCTGTGCCCTGCTGTGCCCCTGCTGCTCCTGGCCAGGCCTTCAGATCTCCAACAGCACTGCAGGGAGAACTTCGGATTTTCCGAATCTCCACATAAGAAACTGTCTGGAATTTAAGAATAAAGGGACTTGCTGTGGGGTGTATGCGTAAATGAGCCACGCTGGAGCCTTTGAACTCCGAGGAGCCGCCCCTGGCATGTGCCAGGTGTGGTCACCGCCTGTGCTGAGCTCCTCCTCAGCTGGCTGCAGCCCCAGCCGAGCTGGTGAGCAAGCAGAGCGTGTGCTGAGGTGTGCAGGAGCCTCCCACGCCTCTTCAGGGGGCAGGATGACCCCGCTGCACCCTGCAAACCCATCCAGGCGCTGACAGCTGCTGGGGTGCTGAACCTGGTCATGCAGCAAACATGGGACACTGAGCCAGAGGAAAAAGTTCCCCGTGTGACAGCTTGCCTCAGGAAAACACGGACCACGCAGATTTAACTGTGACTTGGGCTATTTTCTCTTTGCATGAACTGAGTGCTCAACACCCCCTTCCAGCATTTCATGGGAGATAGACAGATAACACCTCTATTGGGATAAAAATACTCTGCACTCCAACGTCCCACCTTCACACGGACGTCTATAGATAGTGCTTGCGTCTTGGTATTTTCTTCTCCTCCAGAGTCATCTCCAGCTCCTTTCTGCCTTTGACAGACAGGGCTTGGATTGCTGGAGCTTCTCGTTCAAGCAAACTCCATGTTTGCACCTGGCAGAGGCAAGCGAGTTCCCTGGCCCCCTCACTGAGCCAAGCCCCTTCCCACCCTCCCAGACCCCAGCAGTTCCTGTGCAGTCCCAGCAGTGACCCCAAACCTGTGTCCTGTCCCCTGGGCTGGCCAGGAGCTCTGGGGATGTCACACACCGCCAGGTGCTGCCTCAGGCTCTGCCTGACGTGGTGCTGCTGGCTCCTTCCCTCCAGAGCATCCTCACAGCTGCTGGGGTGGTGGGGTAGTGCCACAGAGCCCCTCAGCTGGGCACAGAGAGGCTTCATTTGGCTGCACAGTTCTGTGTGGCCTTACAGCCTTTCTGGAGGAAGGATTTGTCCCAGGTCTCCTCCAGTGCCATGTCCCATCTGGGTTTGTCTCGTTCCAGCTGAACAAGGAGTTGCTCCCACTGTGCTGGTGGCAGCTTGTGCCAGGCTTTGGTGTGTTTCCTCCCTCTGCATGTTGTTCTAGCACTTTTGTCTACTACAAGGAGAGTGAGGTCAGTGTAGGCTGATGGACACTGCACACCCCAGAAGCTGAGTGAGCACCAGAGCCAGCACAGGGCTGCTGGTACCCTGGCGGTACCTCTGGCTCTGGAAACCCAAAGACCTCCACAGCCAACAGCAGGAGCCAGTTTCCCTGGTTTTACAAAATTAGGTACCAAGCTGCAAACACATAAAAGTGTTTTAATTTGTTTCCAAGGCAATGAGTCAGGCTCAGATGGCGAGTCAGGAATAGCACAGCAGGGCTCCTCTGCAGCTCACCTGCACAGTGCCGTGGTCAGCCAGGAGCCCCAGGGTCTGGGTCCCTTCTGTCACACCCTACTGCTCTCTGGCCGCTGTCCTGCGTCCCTGGGCTGGTCACTGGCCTGAGTTTGGGTTTTCCCTCTGGAGGGAGGGTGGGGAGGAGGCACCGTGCTGTGAGCTCTGCAGGGCTGGGGGCAGCAGTGTCCCCACTGAGGGACAGGACAGCTGTCCCTGCTGCCAGCGCTGGCCTGCAGAGTGGCCAGCCCCGGTGCCCACTGGCAGAGGTGCCCACGGTGCCCAGGGCTGGCACTGCTGGCTGAGCAGCCACATCAGGGCTGCCTTTCCCAGCACAGGAGGGCACAGAACCAGCGGGGAGAGGGCTCGGGAGCAGCAGCAGCAGGGAGCAGGATGCAGGTTTCCTCCCTGCACAACAAACAGCCTCTTCTGAGAGTGCTGCTGAGGCAGAGCATCATGACTGGGCACGCCGAGGGCTGACACAGTTTGTTGCGTGCAGCTCACACCCATGACACGCAGCCCAACCACTGCCCGGGCCTGCTGACAGCAGCAGGGCTCATCTGCTCCTGCAGCAGCCAGCCGAGGCCTGGGAGGGTTCCCTGCACCCTCTGCAGCCCCAGCACGTGGGCCCCAGTGCCAGCACACCCCTGCCACGTCCCTGTGTCCTGTCCCAGACTGTCCCTCCTGTCCCTGGGCCTGCAGCGCTGCCCTCACCCAGCCAAGCCGCTCTCAGCTGCTGCTCCTGCTCACCTGGGTGTCCCCATGGCTCACCCAGGCCAGGGCAGCCCCTGTCCCCTCCTGGGCAGCCCTGGGGCATCCCCAGCACAGGGCCAGGCGTTCCCCTTGGGGCTGGCTGCCAGCACTGCTGCCTCGGCCTCTCTCACCCTCCCCATCAGAGAAGCCGCTCTGTGTTCTCTTTAATCATTTCCCCCATTTTCCATGGCACCTTTGCATTCCAAAGCCAGGCCATGTTCAGTGGTGACCTGGCCTTGATGCTGTGAGTGTGCACAGGGGGTAGGAGCTGCCAGTCCCTCTGCCATTGCCCCAGCCACGGTGCAGATGGAGCAGCACAAAAGGAGCTGAATCCACCCAATTCCCATCTCCAGCATCTCTCCATGATGGCCAGCTGGCTCAGGAGCTGGTGGCCACCGGCATGGGCCATGGCCAGGGCTGGCCTCCCATTTGGGCAGGCCCAGGGGGGAGTGGGCAGCTCCAGGGCTGACGTGAGCAGGAGGGACTGGCTCTGTTCTCCTGGTGCACAGTCTACGTGTGCTTGGAACACAGGAACAGTCCTCCTCAGGGAAGAAATAATGCAGAAACCACCCAACTGTCTGAATCCTCAGAATGTAATTATGTGAAGAGATTGAAATGACAAGTTCACTTTTGAAGGTTTTGTTCTCTGTGACAAGGCTGAAGTTATCTCCTCTGCTGAAATGCAGAAAAACAGAATTGTAATGGCAATTAATTTACATTCAAATAGCTCTTTTCATCCACCTGGATCCTGCAGAGCCCTGAACGGTGCTAGCTGAGCACACGAGCAGGTGATGGGGCTCATTCATGCCATGGAGACATGGGCAGTGTGGCAGGATGCTGGAGGCAGCTCTCAGGAGTCAGGATGGATGGAGATGTCCTTGATCAGCTCCATAGAAAGGCAGTGTGTGCATGTCCCTCGGTGTCAGGGGGGGATAAGAGCCAGCCCCAGTGCCCAGTGTCAGTCACAGGAGCAGGGGCTGTGCCCTCAGGCCTGTGCTGATCATCGCAACCCCAATACTAGCCCTACTCCTAGTGATCTCCTTCTGGACCCCATTGCCCCTTCCATTTTCCTTAGCACACCTCAACTAGGCCTACTCTTCCTGTCAGCCATGTTGAGCTTAGCAGTGTACTCCATCCTATGATCAGGCTGAGCTTCCAATTCAAAATACGCCCTGATTGGGGCGCTACGGGTGGTAGCTCAAACAATCTCCTATGAGGTCACCCTAGCTTCTATCCTCCTCTCTGTCGTCCTCCTCAGTGATAACTGCTGGCCAGTGGAAACACTGGCTGTCCCAGGGGGAGACATTCCCCCTGCCCAGAGCTGTCCTGCACAGGGATCCTCCCCATGGGCAGCTCCCGTGGCACCCAGAGCTGTCCTTGCCCTGCACAGAGACCCTCCCTGTGGGCAGCTCCCCTGCCCTGGCCCTGCACAGGGATCCTCCCCATGGGCAGCTCCCCTGCCCTGGCCCTGCACAGGGCAGCTCAAGTGGCACCCAGAGCTGTCCTTGCCCTGCACAGAGACCCTCCCTGTGGGCAGCTCCCCTGCCCTGTCCCTGCACAGGGATCCTCCCCATGGGCAGCTCCCGTGGCACCCGGGCTGGGATCAGCCCCTTGGGATTCACTGGGGACAGGCACAGGGGCAGCTGCCCCAGGGCATTCCCTGCACAGCATTGGAAAGTCACAGCTGGCAAACAGCAGTGCAAGCCCCTCTGAGGCCATTCCTCTGGGCAATTCATGAGTGCCCTGCTGCCAGAGCTGAGGAGTTGTTTCAGCCCATTTCAGACCATCACAGGGTGCATTTCTCTGCTAGGAGGAGATGCCCCACATTGCTTCCTCACACACATATACGTATTTTTAATCTTTGTTTGGTGCAGAGGGAGACTCAAAGGCATTGGATGGCTGCCCAGCACAGCTGATGCCAAATGCCAAAAATAGTGAAAAAAATTAAATCTTTTCTCCCTTATTGGCCTCAAATCCATTGAGAATGGGGACAAGGAGATGAAGTGCATCTGCCATGACCATCCCTGCTGGCAGAGGGGCCAAGGACAGAGAAGCATTTCCCCCAGAGATGGTGCTGAGGCAAGGGGGTTCTGTTCCACTCCTGGCATTCCCTGCTGCCCTCTCTCCCCAGGGCTGCCCCATGCTCTCTCCGGTCACCCCAAGGCAAGGAGCACCTGGGGCTTGGCTGCTCTGGGAGCCTGAAGTAGCTCCTGGGTCTCACTCAGGCATGACGGAGGGGAAAACAGAGGGGAAAATCAGGAAAAATGAGGCAGCATTGGAAAAGTAACAGGCACCACCAAAATAGGTTTCTTTGCTGCAGTTTCTCTCTCTCTGCTGGGCAGCCATGCTGTACACAAACCCGCAGCACCTTCAGCTGAGTTTTCCCTGAGCTGCTCCCCGAGTTTTCTCTCAGGGCTGTCAGACACATGCCAAGCCTGCACGAGGGGCCGGACCCTGTGTGCAGTCCTGGGCTGAGCACTTTGCTGCCTCGCCACCCTGCTAAAATGAAATGCTGCTTTGGGCTAAGGAGAAGCAGCTGGCCATGCTAACGGAGAAGGCTCCTCCAGAGCAGAGCAGGTCCTGCTCCCCTGTCCCCTGCCAGGGACAGCTCTGGCCTGGACAGGCTCTCCCTCAGCCACCTCAGGCACTCCTTGGCTTTATCACAGGTTAATTAGCACGCCAGTTTCTGCCTTTGCAATTAACCTACTTTAAATAAAGCACAACAGATCCCTTGCAGAGGATCTGGGACAGCCGGAGTGGGCAGGAGCCAGCCTGAGCTGAGAGAGGCTCAGCTCAGCTCAGCTCAGCTCAGAATATTCCAGACTCTCAGCCCTCTGTTGCTTGCTCCCTGTTCCCAGTTAGCACCAGGTATGCATTCCATTTGAGAGTTTCTCTTCTTTGTAATACATTTCCATAACTCGTTCATGCTGCCTTTAATGTTTTGCTGTGTCCTGCCGTTCCCTCACATCCCAGACGTTGCTGCTCCTCCTTCCCAAGCCCTGTTCTTGCCCTCTGTGAAGGTCCCATTTGTGTTCTGGTTGCTCCTGAGGCAGCCCCAGCCCTGTGCTCCTCGTGCCAGTGGTCCCAGTGGGGTTATGAGGGAGAGCTGCTGTCGCCCCCGTTCTCCTCAAGGCAAACTCACCTGCCCAGGTGTGTGCTGGTCCCAGCATGGTGATAAAGGAGAGCTGCTGTTCCCAGCCTGTTCTCCTCCTGGCACGCTCACCTGCCCAGGTGTGTTTGCAGGGAGTCCCCATGGCCCCACAGAGGATTTCCCTGCTGCTCTGATGAGAGCAGCCCTGGCCCAAGCGTCCCTTCCCTGCTTCCTTTCTCCCAGAGATGTGCTGTTGGTGTCACTGAGCCAAGCACAGGTGTTTACTCTGAGCACAAATTAAGAGGGAGAATGACTTAATTAGAACTAAACATTAAACTAATTGCTTCCCCTTTCAAAGACTTTGAAGTAAAAGCAGTACATGAAATTTTTCTCTTCTTGGTTCCTTTTCCCTAGCAGGCATCAGGGTTTGGGGATGCTGGAAGATGCCCTCTTTCCAAAACTTAACTATTTCTATAGGCCATTTGATCTTTTCTACACTTCTGGGAACTAATGTTGAGATTCTTGTTTGTACCCTCCTGACCTCTGAGAAGTGGCTGAGAGAGAGGGAGCCCTGCAGGATTCCTGCCTGAGCCTGGTCACAGACCGGGGTGGATTTGGGGAAATGCACAGAAAAAGGCAGGAAATCAGGGATGTGTCGCTGGTACAGAAGTGACCTGTGAGATGGCTGGGAGGGCGTGACTGTGGCTTGGAGAAGCTGCAGGCTCTGTCCTCACCATGCCCCAGCACCTGGCAGGCTCCAAAGACAGGAGAAGGACAATCCAGACCTGCAGAGCCCCGTGAGGAAAAGCTGAGCAGCCTCTTGTCCCTGGGCACTGGCACCTCAGCTTGCAGCTGCCCAAGGCTCCAGAGCTGGGGACAACCCCAGCTCCCAGCTTGCCAGACTGGAGATCACAGTGTGCCCCAGCTGAGAGGGCAGAATGGAGGCCAGGTTTGAGTTAGCCCCTAAAGTGGGTGCTCAGCTTTTGGGTTATCCCCTAAGGTGGGGGCTCAGTTTTTGGGTTAGCCCCTAAAGTGGGGGCTCAGCTTTTGGGTTATCCCCTAAGGTGGGGGCTCAGAATTTGGGGTATCCCCCAAGGTGGGGGCTGCAGGGAGGCACAGCCCCACACAGAGCTTAGGGACAGGCATGGCTCAGCACAGCAGCTCTCTTAAAGCAACTTGGTCATTTCATCTGGGTCACAGTCAAGATCACAGCGTGCCTGCTTCTCTTCTGGGTTTGCTGTGTCTCTGCTATGTCACATTACTCTGCAGCAATGATACCATGAACCCAGCCCTTCCCAAACCCAGGAAAAGGCTGGGTTAATCCCACAGTCACACGTGTTACAGCAGGGATGGAGCCAGGGCAGCACAGAACCTGCACTCACCTCACTCTGCTGCCTTCTCCTGGCAGATGACAGCCACCAGCTGGCCTGGATGATGGCTGTGACCTCCAGTCCTTCTGAAATAGAAATACCTGGGCCATTAAAATAGATATTGTGCTGCAGGAGCCCTTATAGCAGGCAATAAGATCCCATGGGAAGAGCAGTTTAAGGCCTTAACTGTTTCTTAATATTCTTAAACAAGTTCAGCCTGCTTTTCATCTTGATACAAACTTAGCATAAGTATTTGGGAGCTTGTCTTCATTAGTAAAACCCATCAAGGAAGGATGTGGGTAGTTAATCCTAATAAATGCATGCTTGAGCCTTAGACCTCTGCATTTTTTTCTCACTAATTACGAGTGCTTTTGGGGAGCTCTGTCTGTGTGGGATGAATGTCAGGGGCTGTTTCTGGTCCCCAGGTGCCACGGGCCAGGGCTCTGTACTCGTACCGCGGGCACAACCCGGGCGAGCTGCGCTTCAACAAGGGCGACA